CGGCAGCAGTCTGGGCGTGTTCGGGATCGTCTGTCTGACGCTGCTGCTGCTGACGCTGCTGATCGGCGGCGGCGTCTGGCTGGTGCGCCGCCGCCGCAAGGTCGCATCGCGCCACCGCCGACTCTACTCCGGCGACCAGGCGGCGCACCATGATATAGAGAACCCCGTCTACGACCAGGACGGCGAGCTGCTCGCCGGCAGGGGCAGCAGGTAGGCGGCCCTGCTCACCTCTGGCCGGCCGACGATCGGTGCTGGGACGGTGGCACTCCCTCTCGGTGGGGGGTGGGGGAGGGGGGGGGGGGGGTTGCCGAGATGAAGCACTGGCCTAGGTACAGATGCGTCTTGTTGAATTGGCTGTAGTAGCTGACTGTGAGGTCATTGTATTCAGTCGTGACGTCACATAATCATATCCGGTCATGCTGTATTAACTGGCACGATGTTAGTGGTGAGCAGCTGTTGGGGACTAGCGAGGTCCAGGCCGTATGTCTGGCTGCATCCAAAAGCACAAGTCGGTACCTGCAGCATCCTTGCCGACGGTGCGTCACCCCTTGATCCCTTCTCTTCCGCAGCCTGGAGAGGTCGGGACAGGATGGCTTCGACGCGGCGGCCACCGCCCGCTGGCAAGCGTTCGACGAGCACCAGGAAGAGAACCACCTGTAGCGTCGGCCCTCTTGTCTGCACGCCTGCTGTCGTGCGAACGTAGAGCGCGCGGAGCCACCCCGCTGACCTGCACGCCGTGCTTTACTGTTCCCATTATGCCACGCGTATCTTTTACTCCCAGAAAGACACATGGCTTAGTAACGTACTTGGTTGTGACCATCGTGCTTTGCGGCAAGAATGGTCTTGATAGCTGACGTAGCCATGCATATTCTCATAAAGCGTCATGAGAAACAGCATACTTGCATCGCTTGCCATGGAAATAAAACAAAAGTGTATCAAAAATCGCAGCGTTCATTTCAAAGATAACCGCATGGTGGTCATGAAGTATGCCGGCGACAGTAATGAACGTCCCGAAGGCTACATCAATAAACAACTGTCGTTCTTTTCCACGCCAACCAAGCTTGTGTAGGTTTGCAGGTTTACAGTCGATTTACCACAAACATGGACTGGGAAAGCCATATCGTTCTAAGTTGTGTCTGATAAAGTAAAGGGGAGGGTAGCAATGCGACTTATAGTAATACGATTGTCGCCAACTTGATATTTCCAATTTTCAACAGAAGGCATTCACAAAGCACTAAGCCCCTCACATTACGGCGAGCTGACGGTAAGCCATTAGATTGCGGCGGGCTGACGAGCTCGGCGCGTATGACGAACAGGAGTTCTCCTGATGGCTCCCACCAAGCAGGGCCTGTTAGCGATACAGCGGCGTCCGCCGGGTTGTCCCAGACCACTCTCCCCTGCGCTCCCTCTTCATCCCCGGCCTGCGAGAGGCGGACTGGACGATGTCGGCGACGGTCAGTAGTCTGGCAGTGGGGAGCAAACGATCGTGAGGAAGTCCTCGTACTTGACGTTACCACTAGATGGCGTATTAGTCTCGCGGAAGATCTGTTCCACTGTAAAAGACAGTGACATGCGCGTTAAAGCCCAAGTAAAAATGGCTATCACCACATCGGGCCGGCAGAAACCCAATACGTTTTTGGCATCCCAGGGGCTCTTTGTTGGCATGCAGAGGGCGATAAATAGCCGTATCTGACATAAGAAAATACAAGCACGAAAACTGTGTAGCAAATCGATAGGTGCAAATCTGTAAGCAGTTGCCCTCCTGAAGCCTTTTTCACAGAGGTTGAACAAAGAAGGCGGAAAGGTCTTGGAGTAAGTAGAATGCTTTTGCCAGCTTGGTGTTTAAACCCCATTAAGTCATTGCTCAGAACAGGGTAATGACGTATGCGTGACAACCCAAAATTGCGATGATGTTTACATACTGTCCACGAAGATATCATTACACATCCACAGGTTCACATGTGAAGTCCAATTTGCATCCACGTTTGTCTCAACAAATAGCAAATATTACACCACATCTCCTCTGGTACACTGTGGCTGGTACATCGGCGGCCAACCGGGTGTCCAGCTCGCCACCGGTCAGTACAGCGTTCTTACACTCCTTGTGGCTGAGCCGGTCCCCCCAGTGCAACAGCAGGCGCCGCAGCTCCTTCACCGCGACGAAGCCCGTGCCGCGAGGATCCTGCTCCCGGAAGGCCTTCAGGATGTCGGCCGGGATCTTCTCCTTCTCCATGTGTTCATGCATGACCTCCAGAAATTCGACGAATGGCATATTGTTACCTGGAGGGCGCAGGCCGAACGGATTTAACCAACAAGGCTGCAACGTATTGTGTTATTGGCATAAGCGCAGCGAGCGTGCACCGATATCCACATTTGAGCGGAGTAAATATGTACTGAGTTTAGAGAATCCGCACTTGCAAATCAAACAGCGGCAACGCCAGTGACGTCAGAGAATCTGTATTACTGCATGCTGGTCAATGTAAAGCTGTCCCCGCACTCAACTAGATGTTACTAAGTTATGATTACCAAGTTATGATTACCAAGTTGAGTTTTACTCAGAAGCAGGGGCGCACCCCACGTTTTAATGGGAGAGATGGCGGAGCTCGGTGAGTACGCATCACATACATTCTTAAACTTTCTGTTGGGTACCATCCGTACTGAAAGTGAAAAACTCGGGCTTGGGGAGCATGCCCCGCGGCCACCGCCCTTGGCTTCGCTTCCGGTTTAGCAAATTCACATCAGGTTCATCAAGTGATGCTGCTGCAGGACATGAACACATGATTTTTCGTTGTTGTACCGCTTTTGTTGAGGTAGCGCCGTAGCTCGCTGGTCGTCGGAGAAAGACGGAGGGATCTCATGATGGAGGCCAGTTCATTCACGGTCGTCACGCGATCTTTGCTGCCGTACAAGTTGAAGCACTCGCGAAACTCTGGAATACGTAAATTTTCCCTGACGTAATTATAAAATTCCATCAATTTCGGACGCCAGTGTCAAAGCATCATGCAATCTCGTCACTCATCATGTAGAAATCTACATATGGAAAACAAAGACCGAAATATCTGAAGTTTGTTGGTGTTCAGAATATGGAAGGTGCATTGCGGCTTACGGCATGAAAGCCCTTTGCAGTGGTGACCAGTAAGACCACAATGAAGCATATGAATTTCAAGTTCACGTAAAAAAGGAAGCTGTCACAAGTTACGCTAAAATGGAGGTTTTCTCTGGTTACGCCAAAGCCTGTCATTTTGCTCTCACCATCGATGTCTTCCTCCTTGAAGAATCGCGCCTGGAAGCAAAGGACGGTGAAAAGAAACTGATACAAAATTATCGAATTAATCAGAAGCTAAAGCAACCAGCTTGTTGCTTGTTGCGTTGTCAACCAGCACAAAGCAAGCGTTTGCTTTCGTCCCTCTCTCGCCTCGGCTGCTGCGCCAGCTAACCAGCAACCAAGCCAGTCGCCAGCGTTTTAGCCGTCTGTGTGATGTCGAGTGCGCATGCTGCGCCCATCTGCCGCACTCACCATTTCTGCTGCGGCAGTCGGCGGGGAGCCTATCTCACTCAACGTCAGGCGCTTCTAAGCACGGAGCGACTACGGCCTGTCGCTGCCACCGGGCACCGGCCGGCCGGCGCAATCTTATCGGCCGCCAGGCGCGGATCAGCGCATCGCGTCAGCAGGGGCACGGCGCGCGCGTGCCCCAGCCGTGCACCCGTCCGCAGCAGACGTCACAGTCCGGGTCTGGTGACCGGACGGCGGCCGGCCGTGCGCCGCCCGCGGGCATGGTGTAATAACAGACGCTGCGTTGACGTTGAACGTTTTTGCGCGGTGAATTCGATTCCGTTAGACCGGATGGCCTGGTGCCGCCGAGTCTCCGGGGACGGCGCGGTGGATGCGGTGATCAAGAGACGGTTGGTGTGCGTGGACGACGCCAGCTGACGCAATACACGGAATACCGGTAAAATTACGCAGATGACCAAGCGCTCATCTGGGCGGTATATATATATATATATATATATATATATATATATATATATATATATATATATGTGTGTGTGTGTGTGTGTGTGTGTGTGTGTGTGTGTGTGTGTGTGTGTGTGTGTTGACCAGCGCTTTCAAGCCGAAAAACGAATTCCACAACAGCTGTGAACTGAAATCATTCAGCGTCCAGCATCTCATGCAATGTTCATAAGATATGCGCCAGTCACATTGCTTTCTGAACTGACCGTTCATGATACAGCCGCATATGGTCCGGCCTGCGAATGTTTACTGCGGCCTGCGACATTTACTCAATGATCGCCAGTGATACGCTCTTTGTTGTTCCTCGTTGCCACCATGCCAGCAGTGGTCAGAACGCGGCAATCCACCGAAAGCGAGGATAATTTCCACGAGACTTTGGGCCACACGGCGAACTCAAGCAAGGCTGCTGACGCGCCAACCCCTCGCACGGGTCAGCGCCATCACCGGTGACGAACCACAGCTTCGCGACAGACCACCAGGTGGCAGCCCAATGTACGTAAAGCGTTCTAATATACAGACGAGGATGAATGCAACCCGGAAGGCAAAGGAAACAAATGTGTGTTGGGTTAGCTCAGAAGATGCCATCAGCTTGCAACCACGTGATGCATTCAGCTGCGTCCTGAGTGCACCATTCAGGCCATTGACCATGATGATGCCTGGCCAAATGTAGCCGGTGTGTCCCTCGATTCCATTTTGATGGTCATCAATGGACGTCAAAATACATGCCACGAGCATTCCTGTTTGTTAGCCCGAAAATGACAAACAGGGCACTTAGACCAAATGTACCGACCCAGGAAGCTCCATGATAGTAATTTTACTTGATATGACTATAGGACTATCTGAATTAACTTTAAGCCAGGGAGCTGTTTTGACTGTGCTTTAAGTCTCTACTTCAGGGATCAGATTCCTCAGAAGAGAAACATGGATCATGCTAAGCCCAGGACACACTTGGAACTTATGACGAAAGACCCTTTGGGATACGGGATGCATTTGAACTTCTGCTGGTCTTCCACGATCCTAGAGCTTTCCTGAACTTCGACAAAGAATCGTGTGGAATATTGGATGCTCCTGAAATTTAGTATAAAAATCCGCTTACAATCCAGGATTTTTCAACATGTTATAGAATGCTCATTCAGTCTGGTTCCTTCCTTGGAATCCAGGCACCTCTGCTTTCAACGAATGCATTTTCGATCAGGGAAGATGTATTAAAAGCAGTATATGAAAAACAAAGACCACGTTATGGATAAACGTGTGTTGCGAATAAAACATCGTGACCAGCGTATTGCCTCACAAAACGAAAATACAGCTTACACCACTTTCATGACTAACATCGCGTCTGTGTATGGCAGAGAAACGTGTCGAATGTATTGTGGACCTTGTTGTAAGCCACTAGATGAATAATTTATATACTGGTCCCGAATAGGTTTGGTGAGGCTACCACTGGTATGTGTTACATGCTTGATAATGCTTGGCGACGCCGACCATAACTGGTAGCTAGAATGCAGACACTGCCACAGACCATAACGTACCTAGCTGAGCCATAAGGTACCTATCATACGGTACTCAACCATAAGGTACATAAGAGCATAAGAACAAGATAGAGATAAGAACCATAAGGTACCAGACCATAAGGTACCTGGCCTAGCTCCACACCTGAACGGGCGGTGAAATCCCCCTCCCCATCCACGCAACCCGAGAAGCAAAGCACCTAAATGGATGCCGTGATGACCCATTAGCAGAGCAAAACCCCACTAAGCCACAGAGTAACGAGCGGGTCCAGTTCCGGTGTACCTGGCGCTGGTCAGACCCACTCACTCCCATCCCCCTCCCCCGTCACCTTCCCTGATCGCAACGCACAGCTTTGGCCAGCTGCCGGAGCTGATCGGCGGCGACGAGCGGGACGCCGTGTCAGGTGACCCACCAAACCGAACTGACCCCGCGCATGAACGAGACCACGAAGTGCAATGCTAGTTGCATGCTCGTTACTTCGGAAACGAGCGAAACGTACGAGTGGCGTTCGGTTCGGGGTCGTCACATCCTTCCATATCGACAATCACACGGCATATATCCACTGCGACGCTCCACAGATCTCGCAACTAAACACCTACAAAAATTATGAAGTTTCCCAGCAGCGATGCTCGCCACAGATCCGCCTGTCCTCGGCGTCATCTGACACAGCACACCGCCGTCCCCCATATCCAGGCACATATCACATCTGCGGTACGTCGTCACACGGGGGTGCGCCCGCCGGCCGGGGGGCGCAGACGCGTCCCGTCTTCCCCACGCGCGCCGTGTGCTCCATCAGGACGGCACGCCATCAGCCCGGCCAGCAGTCACCTGGAACGGCCGGACACGGCGCTGGTCACAGCGCCTGTGATGAGGTGAGCACGCAGAGGAGAGACTGGCGGTGGGGTGGGCGTCCTCCGGGCTGGTCAGCGTTGCCGCGGAGGATCGCGGCCAATCGCAGCAACTAAATAAGATAACTGGCTGATTTGTGACAAGCGGCCGGAAGCTCGATACGCCTTTTTCGTTACCTACTTACATGGTTAAAAGCACATCTCCTGTCAGCTTAGTGGTCCTTTTTGTCCTAGTCAAAACACCGCTTCAGAGCTGCGGCAGGCTGCAAGGGCGTCGTCAGATTTGCGAGCTAAAACAATATTTAACTTGCGTCATCCAATTCCCATTGCACATGTTGATCAGGTAATAGAAAGACCAACGGGATATGAGGGATATAAAATCGGTCCGAGTTTACGAAAGGAAAATAAACGTTCTGGCAGGATAAGGCAGGAAACTGTATGAGCGGCTACCCGGCTTTTTCAAAGCGAAAGCCCGTGACAGCGGCACATGAACGCGATATGGTTCATGCCGCTGTGCGGGTGAACCATGTGGCGTTGTTCCGCCGCGATCGATACGCATGGCTCCCCAGGGCACTCAGCCGGCCGTGAGCCCCCCGGCACCGAAGTCGCCGGCGCTGACAGAGATCTGCACTACATTTTCTCTGCTGGTCTCATATGCCAAACGCCAGTGCCAGCAGTGCGGTAAGATCAGTACAGGGCAAAGGAGCGTATTCATGTAGTCGCCCATGGCGAACGTGTCCTCTTAGCAACATTTTGGCATGCATTTTTAAGTGCGCGAACGCTTGTTGACGATTACAAATTCGAGACACACGTACAGTTTAGCGGATCGAGAGGACGCCATGCTGCCTTACGTCATGTAAGAAATCTCGCGGGCCTGCGCTGCGCTAATTTGGGTTATCAGTGAACGAGCCCTTACCCTCACAATGCGCCAATCAAGTTCTGCACGTGGTCGAGGATACCGAAGAATCCTAAAAACAGACAACACGAGGTGAATATAGACGATGGGAATTTAGCGCTGCGAACATGCGACTTACTTTCATTTGGCATTACTTTCTGGTGGCATTGCCTTCATGCCTTCATTTAGCCAGTTGTCACCACACATTAACAATGCTGTTTCGTTTCTTCAAAACATACAGCTTAACCATCCATCTCAAACAGACATTTACATCGGAGTAGAGCTAAATGCCCGACGCGACAAATTTTACGACGCGGAAACTGGACGTGTTGCAGCAGATAAAAAAATGCAACACAGGCCGCACACTCCCCTCCCTCAGACTGAGGACCGTGGAGTGGAAACACCTATTGACGGGGGCCCACATTCCCTCCAGTTCAATGTGTCGACGCTGAAGACCCAACTGACCCGAGGTCCGGGGCCGCCGTGTCACAGGGCCGGGCTCCCGCACGGTGTTGTACGAGCCGCAGTCAGTGCACTTCAAGCCGATGTGATGGAAGAGGGTCTCGCCGCGTCGGTGACAATCCCTGCAGAGCACGTCGACGAAGCAGTGGCGCAGTTCGGGCGGCATGGCGCAGCGTTTGATTTGCTTGTCCATCCTCCGCCAGATCTGCGGGGCGGCGCCACCGTCAGGGTCGGGCCACTCCGTGCGGCCGCGCGGCACCAGGCGGCCCATTGCGGCTGCAAATGCGGCAACACGCCCCGACAAAATGCCGCGGAGTTGCACGCTCACGGCGAGTGATCAGCACACCTGTCTACGCCCCTATATCCATGGAGCAAGTGTAATTGTAGAGCAAAGGAAACAACAGATCACCAGGGTCGCGCAAAACATAGTTAATTTTCGAAACGATGAACGCTGCTAAAGCAGCAGCGTTCTTTGCGCAACGCGCCGGCCGCATAAGCGATGCGGAATTAACACAACGAGCAAATCACGGTCAGTATGCTAACGACGAGCTACACAAGCCGGAAAGCAATCGTCAGTAGCGAGCTTGGATCACGCCGCTGCTGCTGCCATGACACGGCTCCTGGCACCGCTCGCTCTCCTTCTCTCCCACCACCACTTCCCTGCGTGTGGCAACCGCAACACTCGCTCTGCACCTCCGGTCCCGCGCCAGCGTCACAGCGACGCCCGCGCTGACTGGAGCGCCAGCTTCACCCAACCGGCCGGAGCCACAACACTCGCTCTGCACCTCCGATCCCGCGCCAGCGTCACAGCGACGCCCGCGCTGACTGGAGCGCCAGCTTCCCCAGGCGGCAGGGCACTCCGCTCTCATCCACGAAGCGCCCCAGGCATGCTGCTGCCCGCCGGCTGCACATGGCGCGTCGCTCACGTCACGTACCAGGTCCATGTTGCAGACGGAGGCGTTGCATTTCGGGCACGTGGAGATGCCGTGAGCCAGCAGATCCTCTTGACAGGGCGTGTGCAGCATGTGGCCGCAGGGCAGCGAGCGGGAGCCAGACCGCGAGGAGTGGATATCCTCCAGGCAGACGCCGCAGTCCATGTGTCCGCCTTTCTCCAGACACTGCGCACGGATATGGGACGACAGCGTCAGACGCCGTACGACAAACGCTACAACAGTCGAGCCGTCGGCACCAGGCGGGCGCGCGTGCGGCATCTCCCGGTAGCACACGGCGCTACACGAGCCTGTGTTTTCCAGCAAGCATTGGCTAGCTATCGGTCACTGCCATACGTATTGGTGCATTTGCATACCGCATATTTTTTCAATGAGTTATGACGGGATGAAGTTGCTTTGCTTTTTGTGTGATTTCATTGATTCAATAATAATCATAAAAAGAACGAACCTACCATCCATAATACCGACCATGTCCAGCACAAAACTGCATGCATGGATCCGTAACCAGCAGCACCGAAAAAGCTGACACACTCGGTTTCAGTAGTAAATGAGCTATCACATGACGTAGCAATTGTTTCAAGTCCACTGCGTCAGTCAGAAGCCCTAAACCGGCAGTATCGGCAAAACGCATTGCTGAGATACTTCGCCCACTAAATTTGCCAAACACGTGATGTTATGGATTTGGCAGGAGTATTTGTTACAGCCAAAATGTCAGTACCTAAAACCGTTCGGTCGATATTTCGAAACAAAGACGAGCGGGGTTCTGGGGCCCTTCCTCGTCGGGCAAAGGATGTGCTGTAAACAAGGAAAAAATGCTGACAGCAGATGTGTGCTTTACTTATTTACTTAACAAAAAATCAACAATGGCACCAGCCATAACTCTCGCCACCCGGAAAACCAACATCCACCGCGCATTTACTGTCAGCTTACTTGCACTTAGACTTGAGAAGCATAGCTTAATACCGTACCTTGTGACTGTTTTCCAAGGACTTTGGCACGCAGAGGTCACACCTGTCACAGTGAAAATAATTGTCCCGTCCGCCACATCTGCATATCCCGCAGTCGTTGCAATGATACTGTTGTTTCTCTGTATCATCATAAAGACGACACTCGCTGCAGTAGTACTGAAATCGAAGATTACACGCTTCATGAGATGCGAATGTGAGATGAAAATGGAACATCGCGCGAACACACACACGCCCACGCCCACACGCCATCGGCGTACTTCACTCGCTGGAGTGCCGGACGCGCCGACCGATGCGTGGCACACGTGGCACACATCAGGGCTCTCGAGATGTCCCGTTCGACGTCAGCTTTCGGGCGATCGGTGGCACAATCGATAGATCGGCAAGTCGTGGGCATCGCCACACGCCTAAAGCCCCTTACCCCTTCCCATTGCCCTTAACTGGCAATGACGCAATCAACACGGAGTCTTATCACTGATTAGCCAGACAGTCCAGAAGACAATTTCGCAAAGACCTCGATCTTCTTACAACAGTAAGGCAACATAACCTCTGAAATCTCCATTCTTGGGATCCAGATCGCAAATTTAGAATTATTACAAATACAATACAACGCAGAGACACTTCATGGTGGTGCTTATGGTTACAAAGGATAACAAATGCGACTTCAGGACGTTCTTGTTTCGTTATCCATTGCTAATGGTACAATTTTATTGGATCAATAGTTACTGGCATACCAAAGGTTAGCTGCTATCTTTATAATATTAACTGCAAATCAATGTCTTGATTTTCAGTAGCCAAATGCTTCTGATCAATGAAAGGCACAAACTGAATTATGCAGACAATCAATCAAAATGCACAAAAATAACATATGCATGGCAATAAATGTGTCTGACCATCAGCATCAGCACAATATCATATCAGTCAATTACTGATCAGTGGCTTGTTCTTTCTTAGACTTACCTTGCCAAATACTGTTTTACATTGGGCACAAGAGTTGGAGACCGGCTGGCGGTGGTCGCACGAGGCACACACCACTTCCTCCACCATATGACGTTTCATTTGATGATCTTCATTCTCGTCATGGCAGAGGCGACATACGTAAACTTTGTCGCAGCATGGGGCCTGGCATAGATAGGGAGAGGATTACACAACATGACAGAAGTCGCTGTGAAGCTTTCACAAGCACAGCCACTGTTGTTGTCATCAGTATGCCTTTACTCTGGTGCAGCGTGTAAACTTGTGAAAGCTTCTTCCCAGAGGAATTGAGTCAAGGCATTTTTGACTGCCCCACATACTGATACCTCTGTAATATAAATGCCTGGATATTGGCATATATGGCATGGGATATGTCATGTCAGGTCAAATGAGTGAAGAGCATTGCCTACTTTGGCCTGTCACATATAATATAATAGAACACAGTGCAATAGCCCAATCAAATAAGTACCAGCTATATAAAAAGCTATAAAAACCATGGCAGTGGAACAGAGTAGAAGAGTATCTGAAAGATACCATCATCCACAGGCTGTCAGCCTAAAAGGCTGGGTTTTGTGAGTTGTGCATTGTGTTGCCTTGCATCAAATTCAATGTGCAATACAATCTTACCACTAATCTTGCTTTCCTTTGATAATGCTTGCAGCCCTTCCACTTTGTTGCATCATGTACATTTGATGAATTTTTGACATTCAATTCCTTCATTTGGAAGCTGACTTGACCAGTTTTGAACTCTGGAAAAGAAGTAGAATACTTACAGATTTAGCATCTTTACAGGTTTACAGACTTCAGCTGATCTGGTAGGAATTTGGATCTTCATCAGAGCAATGTTCAGGAGCAGCATCATGCCTTCTATTCAGTAACATAGCATTTATGATGGATCTAGTTGCATTTCTGCCATGAACTTGACACAGGAATCATCAAAATGTATATATATATATATATATATATATATATATATATATATATATATATCTCTCTCTCTCTTCTCTCTCTCTCCCTCTCCCTCTCCTTCTCCTCTCCCTCTCCCTCTCCCTCTCCCTCTCCCTCTCCCCTCCCCCTCCCCTCCCCTCCCCCCTCCCCTCTCCTCTCCCTCTCCCTCTCCCTCTCCCTCTCCCTCTCCCTCTCCTCTCCCTCTCCTCTCCCTTCCCTCTCTCTCTCTCCCTCTCTCTCTCTCTCCTCTCTCCTCTTCTCTCTCTCTCTCTCTCTCTCTCTCTCTCTCTCTCTCTCTCTCTCTTCTCTCTCTCTCTCTCTCTCTCTCTCTTCCAGTGATTGTGTATAAAAATTCACACACCCGCGAAACAATCTCCCACTTTTCCGCGCCGTAACTGATGCACTGACTTTGTTCTGGGCACTTCTTTTGTTATGTGTCATCTTCTCAGGACATTCTCTAACCAGCTGCCCATTTTTATTGCACCAAAAGTAAAAACCCAGTGCTGCCTGACAGCTTCCTTTCTGTTCCTCTTTCCATGACAATGTTGGCCCTTGTGCTTAGCTCATGGACAACTGTGTCAGATGCTTATTTTGTTCCATGAATACCAGCATTTACTTCATCCCTGTCAACAGCCTTCATTTGTTGTATCAATGCTGGATTAAGGACATGCTCCAGCTGGCAAGCTTGATGCACCACTTCATGGAAGCTCTCAGCTGTCTTCCCTCCAACCAACCTACAATTTCTACCTCAATCCTCCAACCTCAATATAATGTGTTTTGTTGCAATTGTTTCATAACAAGTGCCAAGGTAATTCAATAGGAATAACCACAGCCACATATACTGGCATATTGGCATGTGGCAACAGCACACCTTGCAGGCATTAATATTACATTTGTTTTATTGACTTTCTTTTGCAAATAGATACATGCCAAGGTAGTGATTTTGATTGACCTTTCACCTTATGTTATTTTTGGCACCAAATAAAGGTCAACATCATAGGCATCAATTCAACACTCTTTATGCAGTATTTTGTGGAAAACTGAGATCATTTCAAAGCCCCTTGTTTAATGTCACCTTGAATTCTGGCAGGAGTGTTTCATTCGTGGCTGGGACATAAACAGGCTGTGCAGGCATGAAGATCACAAAAATATGTTTAAATTCATTGGCAAAGAAATGCCCAGGTAACATTCCATGCTTACTATCACATCAGTTTTGTTGTATCTTTAATATAAACAAAACAACGCCAGGATCCCTTGTTTACATTTGTGCCATATACAGAGCAATGCCAGGATACCCCCCCCCCCCCCCTGCATGGCTATGACCACCACCCTTAATAATCATGATTGGGCCTTTGCATCTAAAAACACACCACTGCACCTTAATGTATACATAAACATGGTGCAACTGATTGCTACCAAAAGCTTTTCTTGCATTACCTTTCCAAAATGTGAGATAGCCCACATTTAGAGCAAGGAACAGTCTTTAAAACCTGTAAAGAACAAATATGATGACAAAAAAGAATCATTGCAAGTTTGGGAACAACATGATGATATTCACCTGTCGGCATAATCTGATTGAAAGTGGAACTTGACTTTGCACTCAAATATGCACAAAGCTGCAGCTTGGTGGATGCATAAGCATTGTGCAACTGATTTCCGACAAAAGCTTTTCTTGCACCATCTTCCCAGAAGGAAAGATAACCCACACTTAGTGAGAAACAGGCATTATTTTTTAAAATTTCTTGATTCTAACACTTTTTACTCCTATTCTCAAAGGCTTGCTAAACAAATAATACTGAAAAAGCTCCCAGTTTTTCACATTCATGTCTTAAATTTTCTGCTGGTGTGTTTAACATTTGTACATACTGTAGTTTTGATCATTTTGATCATATATCTAATAACTTACGGTCCATCGCACACTGACCAGAAAGGCATGTACCCTCTTACCTTATTATGGCACTTCTTGCACCTCCTTTATCATTTTCAAGTTGTGACACTTGAATTGCTATTCCAAGTGGATGACACATGCAAAGAGCTGACAATGTCAGCTGAGCTAAAACACTTCCAGCAATCCTAAGGAAATGGACCAAGCCCTGGAAACGGAATACTGGAGCAAAGCCCGCATTTTCATCAAAGTACATATGTTTATTGGGCACTGCACTTCATACAAGAGTCTGGATAATGTGCATCATACTTATTAGAAATAGACACATGGTGCTGCTGTCTGTTGATCTATGACACTTTTGTTCAAAGTAGCACCATTTTTAAGTAGTGCACCTCTTGTATAATTCCATTCGAGACCTCAAAACCGCTCTGACATCCAAAGACATACTCTACCGAACTACTATGCCAGCAGCAATCCTAAGGGAATGAACCAAGCCCCGCAAACCGAACACCGAAGCAAAGGCAACGTCTTCGGTACCGTCCACGGACGTTTATATTGGCATGGAGCACCTCAAACACGAGCCCTCATAATGCAATTCACACTCACTAAAAAAAACACATTGTGCTGACAATGTTGATTGAGCTACAACACCTCCGCTGAATGAATAAGACTCATGCACTGCCAAGAAATGTTGCCATAATGTCGTGCAGACAGACGTTAGTAGCAACCTCTTAAAGAAGTTTACCTCTTGAATTATTCCAGTTGGTAAGACCTGAAAACCTGCTCTGGCATCCAAATACAATCTCTCCCCAGATAAGTGCTTCTTATAAATGTACATGTATCCACCAAAAATGTTGACTTTGCTTCAGTCTTTGGTTTCCGAGGCTTGCCTCATTTCCTTAGGAGTGCTGTTGGCATATTATCTTGATAAGGTACGTCTTTAGATGTCAGAGCAGTTTTCAGGTCTCACCAATTGGAATTATACAAGAGGTGCACTACTTTAAGAGGGTGCTGCTACAGTCTGTCCCCACAACATGATGGCAACATCTCATGGCAATGCATGGGTCATGTTCATTGAACCCAAGTGTTGTAGCTCAACCAACATTGCCGGCTCTTTGCATGCGCTGTTCATTTGGAAATATCAATTCAAGTTTCACTAACTTGAAATAATATAGGAGGTGCAAGAAGTGCAATAGGAAAGAGGGACATGTGCATTCCTGGTCGGTGTGCAACAGACAGTTATCAGATAGATGATCAAAACAATGAAAATCGTGGCATGTACAACCTGAATATGCACCTAGAGAAAATCTGAGACATGAATGTCAAAAACTGGGCTGTTTTTCTTGGACACTGGTATGGCCCTGATTATTTAATCCTTTTATCATTATGTATATTATTAATCCTCTGCAGTCTGTCATGAATCAAATTGCTTGTTTCTTGCTGGATTTATAATGTTGCATGGCCATTTTATGAAAATAATGGGCAATTTTTTATACCAGCACTGCAAGCAGCCATGACTAAAACCACAGGATCAACAATGATAATTGTCCCCCCATTATTGTTGGTGCTAGAGGTCATCTGGATCACATGATTTCAAAGTTGGGTAATTCTGCTAACATGAGCTGATTGTTGCATGCTTCACATAGAATGCTCACAGTGGATATTTATGTTCTAAAAAGGTGAACTACTTGAAGAATATCACTTCTGATCACTCCTATGACCATGATGTGATTGTGAGATTATTGTGTATTATACTCATGGTGAAAAATGTATTTGAACCTGATAATGTGACCAAAGTGTTATGTGCCTCCCCCTTCACCGCACCACTGCCCCAACTTATCAAATTATGAGTGGAAGTGTCTCCCACAAGTATTCATGCTTTAGGTTTATCTTCTCTGTGTTTTTTACTTTAAGATCCAGATGCTAGAAACTCCTCTCCCCCTCCCCTCCTAACCCAGTTCGGTGAACAAGGAAATCCATGGAAATTCATTCTCAAAAACAACGGCACCCACCGCGCACGGCGCGGAGGAATAACCTGGCACCGAGCTACCACAGCTAGGACTCCGAATACAGAAAGGAAGCATTAAACCTTCGGTATATCACACATCCACAGAACAAAGCCCTTCGTACAAACCTATAACGACGATCAGGACCGCCCACAGCCGTTTCCAAGATAATGCGTGACGCCTGCCCCGACCAAGGCCCCACAACAGACTGCCTCAACGACTAACTTGCGCCAGAAGACCTTGAACGACGACGACGAATGACGCAGAACTTTGATCGCAATGATATATCCGGCAGGGACTACAGGAAGGGAACGGCAGACAGAATCAGTTGACAACACCATGCTCCGAGCCTATGAGACTGATCGACACAAAGCCTTTACCGTCCGATGCTATTTTATCAATAATATCATGCAATTGAGGGATGTTGGCGTTGGAGCAGCTCAATCAAAGCCAGAATTCCGAAAACCGGAAAATTTGTTTGCAGGCAATCCCCTGCTCCCAGCCTATGACATCACTACAAAACGTTAAGCAATCGATGTGCCATAGTCCATATCCTCTTTTTTCCCAAACACGGTGACTTTGGGTGACCAAACACGGTGGCTCGTGTGACGTGGGTGACTTGGGTGACTAAAAACGGTGACTAAAAGCACTTGACTTTAACCCGGCCCTGCGGGCCGGGTCAAAAGATGTTAGTCAGATGGCCCTGGTCCGCTTGGAGGCCTCCTGGGACAATGCAGACCTATATTTTGGCCAGAGACCACCAACATCGAACATTCGGCTCTGTGGCGGTCTAAGACATGGGGCCCATTTCCCACACCTGGACGAGGTCCGGACACGCGGTTTATATCGGTCGATATCGCTGAAACAATGAGGGGCCCTGCGTCGGTCAGCGGCTCACAGTGCTTAACAAAGAGTTGGCAAAGTGCCCCGAGTCGGCCAGGGGAGCATGGGCTGAACAGGGTCGAGGACAATGCCCTAAACGCCAGGGGGCCTCTTGTGTGGTTCGGGGCCCTCTGACCGCGACAAAAGATATGAGAATTTACGATGAGAATTCACAAAGAGACAATGGAGGGACAATGTGTCAGCCAGGTGCACCATTACCGAACGGGGGCCCTCCAACACATTTCGACCAGGAACGCATTTAGTCGAACTGGGGTCTCTGTGGTAATTTGTTTACCCCTGCGGCGATCAGAGATGTTTTCGCATCAATAAAGGCTCCTGCGTCGACCTGGGACCAACTTTTCGGCTCAGAGGGTCTCGGTCGCCAGCAAGAGGGATCATTGTATGATTTATCCCTCTAAGGGTCTCTGGATCGACCGGGGGACCTCGATCCCGTGTCGCCTGCGTGGCAGCCGGTAGGCGCAAACCGCTGGAACCGAATGGTCCTTCGGCCCCTAATCCTCAAAGGTAATGCGCCCTTCATGTTCTAGCCACGGACACCTTGCCTGGAGTAATGGTCGCGATCGGTGGCGACCTTCCTAGTGACGTCACCACGGACTACGAGTTAACCTCATCACTGGCACGCCGTCGAACCCCACAGGCCTGATAACCAATCACAACCTGTTGACTCACTACATGCCACAGCCTCACCTTCCCATGGCAGATATCGGTGACGGGTGTCAGCCGCGGACAGTGCCGGTCCCAACGGTGACACGCGGCCAGAGGCCCTATATTGGGCGGCGTCACGCGCGTCCCCTCCCCGCTGGCCGCGCTGAGGCCGGCGGCGAGCCGAGGTCACCAGTGAGTCACCCTAGTCACGGCTGGGCGCCGGGGAGACGGTCGTGCCAAGGGCCCGGCGCCGTGGCCGTGGCCCGCCGCCGTCACCATGTATCCAGTTCCACGCGCGTCCGCCTAAAAATAGGGGCCGCTCCAGGTACGGCCGCGCCGGCGGCGGGCACTCGGCGTGCGGCAAGCCCGGAGAGGGGGCGGCACCACCGGTCGCCCGCCACTTATTCCGAGAGAACGCCGGTGAGATAGGCGGTGCAACGTCTCCGGACCGTCGGCGGGCAACGTGCAACATTCGGCGAGAGGTGGACAGGATGCAGTCAGAGAAGAAGATGCGTGAGGCCTCCTGCAGCCGGTGAAACCCATTTAAGGCTGCGCGTTCATCTTTCGTCAGCACCTCCCGGCGGCGGCGGCGGAGGGGACGCTCGGAGCGACGCACGCGACATTGACCCGGCGTGAACGTAGGCAAGTACTCCGCTGGAGCGACGTTGGCCCGCACGTGAGCGGTTGGTTTGTTGGCTGACGACGTCCCACGGCCAGTCAGAGTGACGTCACCAGTGCTGTGCTCCAGGAGTGACGCCCCAGTGCTGGGTTCCAGGAGTGACGTCACCAGTGTTGTGTTCCCAGGAGTGACGTCACCAGTGCTGCGCTCTAGACACAGACGTGATCCGGAGGGAAATGTCTGGATCGCAGGTCTGACCTGGCATTGTCCCACTCAGGTTAGTACGCTAAGCTGGACAGCACGCACATGTGCACTTCTGGGCCTTAGTACCTAAGCATTACCGTTTGTTTTGGTATTGTTTCTTTTAATTCGCAGCTTTATATTTTTGCTGCTTTTTATATGTCATTGAGGTGTCCAGTAACATAGTGCGCGGCAGGGATTTAGGGTCAGGTTGCCATCTTAACAGGACGAGTTCCAACTTTCAATACGAATTCACTCACATTGTAATGGATAGGGAAACAAATCACGAGTAATATTGCCAAAGCTTAGACCTTTCGACCAACTGGTGTTGAGAATAAATTGGCAGATGATAAACAGTGATATGACGAATTCACGACAACGCTCGGCATCTTTAAAGGCAGGTATCTATGCCATGGTCTTAATGTCCAGAAATTTTGCATATTCACAACTAATGTGGTAGAATGCGATAGACGTCGTACATCTGTCATGTTTTTAGTACGCTTCTGTCAAGGGCAGGAATTCCACTGAGTGCCACAAGATATCCGCGGCGTTCCAATACGACACGGACGTCAGTAGGTTATGACGAAGGTCACGCATCAGTCGCCGCGGCGGGGCCGATACGTACCCACGTTAGATGAGTGAAACGGTCTTGGACAAAGATTGATTGGAAAAGCAATGGCTGTTAGCATACCTAACAAAGTGAAAGGGCAATGATGGAACATGATTCATCATTCATCAACAGGCTTGAGCTGCAGCGACATGCCTTTAAAGGATTGTTGTCCCTAAATATACGGCTCGGGCGACGTGAATCCCTCTTAAAGGGTGCTTCTTCTGGAGGTTAACAATTGATTTCACTTCGGTCTCAGCGTGTGATAGCAGTCTGTTGCTCTGACCATCCTTCACTACTGTCGCATATATTATTTTACCTCGGTCTCAGCGTGTGATAGCAGTCTGTTGCTCTGACCATCCTTCACTACTGTCGCATATATTATTTTACTTCGGTCTCAGCGTGTGATAGC